ATTCGATATAGATAAAACAAATTCAATCTCAACCCCGATGAGTATGTCATGCAATTTAGATAAGGACAAAAATGGAAAAACATTAGAAGGAAGCAAATATTGATGTATGATATGATATCTCTTATTTTACACTATCGTGATGTCTGTTTGTGTGCACGTTTTCAAGTAAACTCCAAAGAATTATACCTCGTCGTGATCAAACGCGTTATGAAGTATCTCACTAGGACACCACTTATGGATTTATGGTGCCCCAAAGAGACGAGTTATACTTTGATTGGGTACTTAGTTTTCAATTTTGTTGGGTGCAAATTGGGTCGAAGAAGTACATGTGTTGTGTGTCCTTTGCTTGGCAACTTGCTTCTCCTGACATAAAAAGAAATAAACAAGTGTTGTATTATCCACAACTGAAAGAAATAAACAAGTGTTGTATTATCCACAACTGAAGCATAAGGTATTGTTGCAGGTAGTTATTGTACGCAAGTTATCTCGATGAAACAAAAACTAAGTGATTATGGAATAAATCTCGAAACAAAAATTAAGTGATTATAGAATAAATCTCGGAGCTCTCTCGATAAAATGCAACACTACCTCCATAAATCTCACAAAACTTGATAGTTAACTCTCAAACTAAACATATTGAAATTAGACACTATTTTATTAGAGATCATATCAACAAAAGCAAATTGCATTATTAAGTTTATGTCCTCATCGACAAATATATTTACAAAACTTCTTCCTAAAAATTAATTTTTTTCATAAAATCTGAGTTAAGAATCTTAAATCATTAAATCAATCATGCATGTATATTTGTTAAATGTTTCTTCTCCTTCTTCCCTTACTTTGTGTTTTATATGATTTATGTGTTTGTGGTATTTTTTTCCCAACTTTTTTTGACTATATCAAAAAGATATGTGTATACTCTTTACCTACTTCCAACGCATAAAACATTAGTAAAATTAATATTACTAAATAATAAATATTTTAATTCAGCTCAACTCTTGGTAGAGAAGAGACATCAAACTACAAGGCCGCATGTTTGAACTTGCCGCGCGTTCGAACTTGCGACATCCCACTTATTATTTTTAAGAGATGAAATTCAAATCACTTGTGCAGATTTGAACTTGTCACATCTCACTTATTCACATTTAAGAGATAAAATTCAATCTACTTGCGCGGATTCAAACTTGCTACATCTCACTTTTCACCTTTTTAAGAGTTGAAATTCAAACCACTACGCTATTAGACCAAAAAAAAAAACAATATTACATTCAACACTGAAGGGTACACAGTAAATAAAAAACAGCATGCACATTCATTATTTTGAAAGTTCAAAGCTTCCAATACATGCCCAATTGGTGCAAAATGCCTGCTATGACAGCCCAGAATAGGATCTCGGCGAAGATCACATATAGTAAGATACCTAGTTTCGTTGAATGCCAAACTCTAATGAAGACATGCTCTTGGATCCAATAGACCTGTTTACAAAACACATTAAACATCGATAATACTGATGTGTTGTTGTCAATATAACTTTGTTGTTGGTGATCCTATGTTTGTGTCGATTACAGTTCGTGTATTGTATCCAAGAGTTCATGAACCAAAGTATATAGAAAATCAGTTTAGATGAATGTACCAGTGTATTTTGAGGGTTGTCATAATACCACCCATTGATGAATCCTGCAAAGATTCCCTCAGCAGCCATGACATAGACAAACATGGCATTCATACCGATCCATTTAAGAGGGATGAACAATAGTTTTAATCCGAAAATATCAACCTGCAATGACATAGTCCAGTTTCTAAATCAACCCAAATGACAAATGTGAAAAATAACCACAGGGGGAAAATATTATTTCAAGAAATATACCATTACATAGAAGGCTGAAAAAACTAATGCCGCTGCACCAGATGTCACGCAAACATAGCTTAGTGAGTAGAGCTGTTTATTCAAAGGAATGGCTGCAGTAAATGGAGGAAAGGAAAGAAAAATGAGGGTGATTTTTTGGTTGCATAGTAAGTTCGAACCAACACTGAGGTAAGATTTTGTACCGTGGGTGAAATGAAGAACAAATCCTAAAGTAAGGAGAGTTAAGCCAATGAGAATCCATTGTTTCAATCTAAGAAGATGATCCTAAAATCAGAAAAGTAAAAAGGTGAGCCGAAGTTATTTCAAGCACCGATTACTTTGGGTTACAGGTTTTACCTGCAGGTGTACGAGTACGTGTCCGAAATGCAATCCGATGATCGTGGATAGAATAGCAGATATTGAGCTGCAGATGTAATCCATATTACTCTAAGGAATAGGCTCAACAAAAGGGGGAGCATTCATAATCATATGAAAGTCTGTAGTGCCATGTTTGAGATTTCTGCGGTAATACCGACCTTAAAATTCCTTCTGGTTCAAAAGGAGCATAACACCATGCAGGAGCAGTTTTTTTAAAAGGCCCTTCATACCGAGGTTTCACGGTACAAGCCTGCAGGACTTACATAAAAGGCAATAAGTGTCTGAAATTACCACATCATAAAAAAGTGACTTGTTCGAAAATTCTAGTAGAAAAAAGCATCTAGGAGAAAATAGCAACACACTTCAGATCTCCTCCAAGCCGGCTTCTTATACACATGGTTAATTCCGAGCACCACTCTGTCAATATATCCCACGGCATTACAAGGAGGGTCAAGTTTCCCTCGGACACCACACGACACCTAAAATCGGCTGAGCAAACAAATTAGAGTTGAAGAAAGAGGGGAAAAATATTCCTATTTCATGTTCAAGTATGCATAGGGAGAAAAACAAGAAGTGGGAACCGAAGCTTACGGTGAAAGTTGTGCCGTTATATATGCTGTCTGGATTATGGACAGTGAATTGCCAGTCTGGAACATGTACTCCATAAAGTAAAGCCATGTAAACTGTAAGTATACACGCCGCTACCAGCCTGAAATTGTAATTGACGGAATACTAAAAAAAAAGCAGATTAAACTGGCTATCAACCAAAAACTTGTCATTACAAACTAACCAATGCCAATAGTACAGCTTAAATATTGAGAGGTTTGTGAGTTCCGGATCATTTCTGGCTTGTCTACTTCTTGAAATTATCTCCACCAGCGACACGACCAAATATGCTAGAGCAATTCTCTATGAGTACAAACACAAGATTTATCTTTTTTTGACGTCGTTATATCGAAAATCTATCCTATCCTACCAAAATAACCGCGAAAAAAGGGATTGAAATCAATCACCTGAAGAATACCACACCACCTTATGTGTTTCATGTCAACTCCATATGATAGATGGTCAGGAGCATGTGAGAAACCACCTTCATTGTTACGGTCATTCATCACAACAAAAACAAAGCATAATGAAGTTGTCTTTCACAACCACAAAGATGTCTTGTTAAAATATTTCTTAATATGAAATTCAGATTCAATTATTATAGCACATTTCAACGGAATAATTTTCACAAGACCAATATTAATGATTTTTGTTCGAATATGAAGTAATATCTATAATAACTTCTCTTTATGTTAGAAAAACTAACCTTGTAAGAGCAGACCCCAGAAGAGGAGTTTGAGTGTTCTTACTATCACCTTTTTAACAGCTAGAAGTTTATTCGGTATTTTCTGGCACATAAAATAGAAGACGTATGCAAATAAAGAACTGGTTTGAACTAAAGAAAAAACAAATTGAAGCAATCCTAGCCAACCTTGAGAGAAAGTGGAATGGCCATTCCTACAATGAACAAAAAGAAAGGCATAACAAAATCAGCAAGATGGCAGCCATTCCACGGCGCATGACCAATCACTGGCCATTGATCTCCAGCATCATCAACCAAGATCATAAGCTGCAACCAACACATATCATCAAAAACATGGTAATGTAAACACTCATATGGAAAACGTACCGCAACAGTGAGACCCCGGAAGATGTCAAGTGACGCCACTCGCTTTGGCGTGTTAGGCAGTGGTTTTGCTGAAACTGGCTCTGCTTCTGAAACAACATGGACACTGTGGTCGCCTTTGATTTCAGCCATACTCTTGTGTTTATTCTTTTTTACCCAGAAGTTGCTAAGATTGAACATGAACACACGCTGTTACTTCCAGCAAGCAACTGAGATATTAATATTAGACACACATGTTCTTTTGGCTTTCCAAAAGAACATTATGCTTGATTGATATAATAATAATGATAATATCATCATAAATTTTGTGTTGATAATATATAAAAAAATAGATATAGATAATGTGTTATTAAGTTTTTATACATTAAAAAAATATTAGGTAGCTGTCAAAGAAAAATGACAAATTGCACATGAATATTCTCCACATGGCTAAACAAGACTCTCCAACGATTAGGATGTACTCCAACGTCTAAAATACTCACAATTAAAAAAGAAACTAAAAAGATAAGAAAATAAAATAGAGAAGAACCCGAAGAAAAGAGTCTATGACAAAAGTTGTGTGAAAAAAGGACAAAGAGGGAAAGAATATGGGGAAAAAGGAAAAGGTTGAGTTACTGTAATTAGTATTAGTGAGCTATTAGAATTTAATGAAAATTATTAGTATTTAACCAGAGTTTTAATTCTTTTGAATCTGTTTTTGGGTCGGGTAAAAAATATATTGACAAAGATTTTCAGACTAAGAAAAAAACCACAATTTCTGAAAGTTCTGCCAAACTGCCGTGAATGGCGGCCGCCATGGCTGCACTTTGACAACACTGTTGAGAGTCCCAAAAGACCCGAGCTTCAGATTATTGTTCAGATGTCTTAGAATGATAGAAAATAACTAATGTAATGAAAGGCTAAAATAACAGTATAAAGTTATAAGCCTCATCATAAGAAAAAATATCAGACCCTAATAGTTTTGTTACATTACAACTGAAGAAACAAATAGAAAACTTGAAAAAATTAGTGATGAATTCCAAAATTATATTTTCAATGACATGCGCCGTGCCTCATCATTTGGATATACAATCATACAATAACTATATCATCCTGGGAAGCTTGTCAAGAAGTTTTCGAAACACGGTCTGATTGTAGCACTTGGTTCTTTGGTAGCAAATACAATGGAAGAAAAGAAGGAACGGCGAATGCAATTCCTAGACACAGGAATGCCAGTGCCACCACCCACCAAGCGTTGTAGGGTATGCCCAGCAATAGTTCATCACACACTGTTGTATCAACAGAAGAACAACAGAAGAATGAGAAGCAGCAATTATTAACTTCAAAATTCGTAGTACATGTTATGTGTAATATTACCTATGTTAAAAATAATAAATTCCCTCTCGGGTACATGTGGTTTTGCAGGGAACCCCTCTGGCTCCACAGATACTAATACTAAATGGGCTTCATCCTGAATTAAGTCAGGTCAAGGTTGTAAGAATAAAGCATAATAAAGTTAAGCCCGGGAAAGTTCAGAGTAAGACTTCATACTAACATTGCACCTGATCGTTATAAGTCTTAAAAATGAGCTTTTCGGTGTTGAGCAATCTCCTGTGATTGTTCAGTACAACATCTGACTTGTTTTTCTTCAATTGTAAAGAAAAGCTAGCGGGTATCTGTAATATATTTCGTGTATGTTAGTTTCTAGAGGAAAGATCTTCTGCAAAGAACTGAAAGAACACATAGTATACATACAGTTGCTGGATACGATATCTTCACTTCATACCACGTTTGGGGTTTCAGACCTTGTAGTTGATAAAAGCATGAGCCGCCTTGTAACGGCAGAATTTCTCTCCATAGCTCTTCTCCAACTTTCAAAATTTTGTCCTCGGCCCTATAATAATAATCAATCGTCCACTATAATAATCAAGTTAATAACACAGATTTCCAGTTAGTTAATCCAAACTCGAAATCAATAAGATGAATGCATAGTTGAGGAATTTTATACACTCACATATTTCCAAAGCAAAGGCTTGGACCCTTTATGATGGTGAGGAGAATGTAAAGCAGAATAACCATATTGCACAGGTAAATGGTGGAACGATATGAGAATTAAGATGTTACCCAAATCATCAACTCAAACCTGCAAAAGTTAATCTATTTCAGCACACAGTGAACCATTTCAAATTGGATAGAATTTAATATAGCAAGAGACTTATTATGAACCAAAATCTACAAGACATCAAACATAGATAAGAATAAATAAAAAAGATAACTTCTTTTCCTTTCTTTGAAGAAAGAAAAGTGCTATGGTTAACTGGCTCTGGTCAGTAATAGAAAAACCAATCTCTTTGTTTATCATCAGAGAAATGCGCTTCAACATGATCCAAACAAATAAATTTGGTTGCATCATGGAGCACATTATTGTCTGATTTGGCTAGTTCACATCATTCCAGAGCCAGATACGAAAGAAAGCCTTACAATCTAATTTAGTCTTGGTTCAAAATAGTTTCAGATTATTGTAGAACTGAATCAAGATCCATCATTCATTTAGACCTTAACTACAGAAAGTGAAAACAGATCAAACAATGAATAATCCTGAATTTCCAATATATAACTATCTCAAGCTATAGCTTGAATGTAGTAAAACATTTGATAATTTGTTGAAATAGATTCCTAGTTTAACCGTTAATTACTTTCTTAAAACATTTTACAAATCATTTGCATACATAATAGTTAATAGAATGACAAACACTATTTTCCACTGTAACCTAATTCCAAATGCAAAAAATCATTAAGATAAATATTTATGGAAGCATTCTTCAAGATTTAGTGGTCAATTAATGGTACTTTACAACCAAAGTTGAGTATGAATTCATAATGCATAACTATATTGGATAACAAAATTAATACACATTTTGCAAAAATAAGAACAACACTCATAATACATAACCATAGATGTAGATCCAAAGGGGAAAATGCGCAGTTTCAGCGCGGAATTGCGTTACGGAGTGGAGTTCTTCTCCGCCGCTATTGATTGATGTGTTGTGTTTTGCAGAGGCGGCTATCGCGGCCGCAAATCGCGCCGGAATCGCATCACCGGGCGCGCTACAGTGCGGCACCGCACCAGTAGTGAGGAGAGAAAGAAAACCGGAAAGAGGAAAAGATGAACGGTATTTCTCACCGGTTGTGGCGGCCGATGACCGAATCCGCTGCTTTTACCGGCCACTTGCGTTCAGTGCGCCTGCATTTTGTTTTTTTCTTTTATTTGATGGCGTTCTGGATTTTTTTTGGTTTAAAGGTTTTTAATTTGACGAACACACGGTATTCTTACAAATAATACTAATACACTTTGGGGTTATTATCAGTTTTGCGTGCATTTAGATTCCCTGCAGTCAGAGGTCCCTACATTCACACATAATAAAATAGTCAATAACTATTCGATTAAAATTGAACGGTTCTGATTTAAAAGAGCAGTTTAAAAAATTAATATAAAAATATTTTTGTTTTTTTAAAACCCTTTGATTAAGATTTAACGGCTAAAATTGGTTCAATTGCGTGATTGCGGTATTTTGCCGACCGTAAAGAATTCAATTTTCTTTTGTGCTCTGTCATGTAAGCCACTTTTGATTTACACTTTTAAAAAAATAAATTGTAAAAGTAGTTGTCATTAAGACTATGTTTGGATTGATGGAATATAACGGAACCGAGTAAAATGGAATATGACGGGGTGAAGTGGAGCGGAGCGAAATGGAATATAAATCTCACTCTATTGTTTAGCATTTTTTTAATGTCTCATTCCATCACATACACCTCAAATTGAATGGAACAAAAAAATAGGGAATTGGATGGAATGGGATGAAATGTATTCCATCATGTTTCATATCATTTCATCCTTTATTTACAAATCCAAATACTTGAATCTCATTAGTCACCACTCCATTCCATTCTATTTCATCCTATACCCTCAATCCAAATATACCCTAAAAGATCTTTTTATTTTAACCTTGAGATGAAAAGACACACTCGCTGAGTCTATGTGTCATGCTCAGTGGCATTTTTGTGTTTTTTTTAAATGTCAAATAATCAATGTAATGTCACATCACATATTATGTCTTAATATATTACAAAACTTAAGGTAGTAGTGTTCATTTGGTTCTTCGACAAAGATCTCTTCCACCATCATCTATGCTTCTTCTCCAAATCGCGAAATTAGGGTTTGTAATGGGCGGAAGCAGAAATTCTTCAACTGAAAACTTCAATGGAAGAGAAATACCAAGGTGTGGTTGCAATCTTTAATGAAGATGTGGGTTTCAAAGATACATGAAAACCCTAACAGAAAGTTCTGGAGGTGCAAAAATATTGGAAAGGTATTTGTAATTGCTTCGAAATTATTGATATATTGTGTTTCTGAAATCTCATTCAACCCTAATATGTTAAAGCAAAGTGATGATTCCTGCGAGTTCTTCACCTGGGATGATGAAGTGGAAGAATTGTTAGTGAAAGGTCAAAATAATGAGACGTACAGAGTTAAAGAATTAATTGGTTATCTTAAAGAATTTGAAAAAGAATATGGCCAAAAGTTTAGAAAGGAGTTTGCCAAAGAATTTGTTAAATAATCAAGCTCAAAGAAGGTGGACAAATTGAAGATATTGTTGCAGATTGAAAGGAAGAGGAGTTTTTGGATGATGGTTGTCCTTGTTGTATCATGGACTTTTTTGATGTAGTGTGTAAAATGGATTGACTATAGTTTTAGAGTAATTACATTTCAATTTAATGTAGGGTACATCCCATTTATCATGTTTTGTTCTATTGATAACAATGTAATGTTAACTTATGGTTGAATGATAACAATATAATATTAACTTATGATTTAATGATAACAATGTAAGAGTAACTTATGATTTACTGATAACAATGTTATATTAAATCTTAAACATTAATTATTATAAGCATTACAAAAGGTGGTACCATCTAAAGATATTGTTATAAGCCTTAAAAAAAGGTCTTAACATAAGTACTACAAAAGGTGGAACCATTTCAAGATATTGTTATAAGCCTTAAAGAAGGTCTTAACATAAGCATTACAAAAATGTTACATAATGGTCTTAACAAAAAACATAGACTTAATAACTTTATTCACTTCACTGAGTTAAACTTTTTGTAATGTCTTCCAAAGATCTAAGAGTCCTTAGACATGTTCCTAGCTTATGCTCTGTGTGATACGGTGACAGACCTGACTGTTATACTGGTTTGTATTTTGTATTTGCAAATGTGTGGTAAGCAAGAGTCGCCATCGGCTTTTTTTTTATCCAACAAAAGAAAGAGTGAAAAGAACAGAAAAAAACCTTTTCGAGATGTTTTCTGAGTAAGGGGGTAGATTATGGAAAGGAAGGGTGTTAGTACCCTTTCCATCCGTGGTTTTTCACGGGCTCTTAGAGGTTTGCTCATTTTGAAATACTTTTGTGCTTTGTGTGTTTGAAAATGTTTTGAAAAACGCCTTGGTACGGAGAACTTTGTAATGTTTCTCGGTATAGTGGAGAAAGTATACAAAGTGTTTTGAAATTGTTTTTTTTTAAGTAGTTTTTTGTGTAAGTGCAAAAATGTTTGAGCAAACTTCTAACAGCTATCTACTTCGTTACTCGAAAAGAATCGTTCTTTTCCTCTTTTCCTTTAGACAATGCTATCCTACTATTACTGAGTAGGTAGCCTTATCGTTGAATGTTGAGGGACATTTGAAGGGACGTTTTACAGTCATAAAGGCAACATATGGAGACGCTTTAGCAAATTTTGTTTAAGGAACGAGATCATTTACCGAAAGGCAACACTGTAAGGTCATCGAGGGACTATGATCTTTTGATTTTACAGGTCTTTTCTAAAGCGTCCCCATTCTCGAGGGACGTGACTGTTTTTCTGAAAGCAACCGAAGTGAGGATACCCTGGAGGTGCATATGTGCATATGTGTTGAGATTCAGTTATTTTTTGTATATTTGTTAGTTACTAACGTTTTAATTTACAGTCTTTCCATACACGCCTATTTACTAACAGTAATATAGTAAAGTAATAAAGCAATAAAATATGCGGAAAATAAAATGCAAAAAAAATCCTAAGCTATTACACAGCTTTCAGAGAGATACATTATAAGTGTAAGAAGTAAAGTGTGGAATTTTAAATCTAAAACTATTACATCCATAATCAGTTACAATATTTATGTAAAATGCGAGAATAAAAGTAACGTGCGCGAAATAACTATTACGTCTAAAAAAACCTAAGAAAAGTTCTAAGTAAAATAAAAATCTTTGTTGTTTTTTTAGTTTATTTTTTATTAAAAAAAATACGCTTAAAATAAATTAATCCTAAATTTAATTGAGAAAAATAAATATTAAATGGAAATTAACCTAGTTCTAAAGTTTTTTTTGTATTTGAGAAAATATTTGTTTGAAGATAAACGAAGTCTAATTGATGTTAAAATTAATAAAATAAAGTTGAAATAATTAATCTAATTAAATTATAAAATTAAAAATAATTTAAGAAACAAAACTAAGTCTATTATATTTTTTTTATTAAGAAAAAAATATTTGAATTAAATTAATCTATGTCTAGTTGATTTTAAATTGATAAAAATAAGTCAAGATAATTAAATTAATTAATTTACAAACTTAAAAAATATTCCTAAGTCTAATTATTATTATTATTTAAAAGAAATAATTCAAAAAAACAAATAAAACAAATCAAGAGAAAGAAATTGGGCCGGATGTCTGAAGTAAACAGGGGGTGCTGAATCTGAATTTCACCAGGCCCATTAACAGGAGCCCAGAGGCTGGCCTAATTCAGTGTTGTTGGCTCCTGGGAGGTCCATCATGGAGGAGCATCCCAAGAGCGTTGGATCTGCCCTCATTGGTAGCTAATGACCCAGATTGAAGGCCATATCGTGTGCTAACTAAGCCTGGTACACATGGGATCTGCAATCAACAAATGTTAATAAAACAAAACACTGGACCTGGGATTCGAACCCATGTCCCTTCCCTCATAAGTGTGCTTCTTTACCAGTTGTGTTGCCTGGTCATTCGTTAATCCATATAACAAGATAATATTATATACAAAAATTAGTCAGAAGCAGTAAAAAAAAATGAAAACGCGCGCTGGATTTGAATGAGCCAATGGAGGGTTGCCAATGCGTCGTCTTCTTCCTCCCTCCATCATTTTAGATAACGAGACCTATAGTCACAGTTTTTGTCTATCACTATAGCACCTGTAACTAAAAAAAACAGCAATACACAAAATAAATTCACGGTGAGGCCATGGATGAATTGGCCTCAACCTCCTGAGCATAAAGAGACCCTTGGTTAGGCCTAATTTTTGCTATTTCCAGAAACCCCAATTCTAAGTTTGGAACCCTAGAAATGGTAATACCCGATCCCTGCATCAAAAACCTAATCCAACCACACAGATAGCTTGCAAATACAAAAATAGTCAGTAATGCATGGTTAAAATGTGCTTATGTTACGTAAATCAAACAAATTAAGATTGAGAAAAAAGCGCAAACTGTGAGATGTTGGTGATGTGTTTTGGGTTGTTTCAAAGCCTGGTAACAATTGGAAAAACTTCAGGGGACTTCTAGGAGTGGATTAGGATGCTTGCTTGGGACTAAAGTAGGCTGGAAACTGAAATTCAAACTTGACAATTTTGTGATTTTTTGCAATCTTTTCTAGCTTTCTTGACAGTCTTTTCGTGTCCATTTGGCTTGCTAGAATGTTGTACTTATAGTGTAGATGGAGGAGACAATATAACATGGAAAGAATCAAGTCATAATGTTATGCTTTCATGTAAAAATCCAACCAATTTAAAGGCTTCCATATTTGCAAATCTTTCCCTTTTATTGCTTGAATGAACCTGGTCATTCTTTGTACGAATTTGTGGGCTTCAAATTGAATCAAAACAAAAGCCCAATGGTCATGATCCAATCATTTACTATTTTATATGATTTATCTTGTATTTATATGAATAAAACAAAATAAATATGAATAAAATAGCTAAAAAATGCAAGGCAAGGTAAGAATGAAATTATAGGTCCTTTATAAGATTATGAAGATGTTTGAGGCCTAATAAAACAAGTCATTGCTTCAAAAGTTCAAATTTGCTCAATGCACCATTCTTGAAATTTCCAAAATATTCCCAACTTGGGCAAGCCATAACTTGCTCAATTATTATCTCATGATGATGATCTTGGACTTTTTAGAAAGCACAAGATATCTGCTTCAATCTCTCTTTTGATCAGTTTTGCATTTGAAGATTTTACCTTGATGTAAAGGGTCTTGGCAAAAAGTGGCTTTTGTTGACTTTTTGAAAATTGACCTGTAATGTCTGAGCTTATATCTTTCAAATGGGAATCTCTTGAACTTGTGGGATGAAGAGAAGTTGTAGGGGATTGGATTATCTTCAAAATGAGCTTTGTTGGGAAAATTTCTGATAAAGTATGAGAAAGTTATGCCTGGTCAAAGTTTGGTTGACTTCTTCTATAGAAACCCTAATTTAGCAATTCTTGACTTTTGATGAATTATGAGCATTTCTTGAGGAATCATGATCAACCCTTGATCAAATGACAGATATCACTT